ATATACTTCACAGCTATAGAAGTTATAGTTCTTATAGCTATAAAAGTTATAGTTCTTTTAATACGATTTTTATCATATCGAAATGTAATGCCACTAAAATTTAATAACTCTTGTCACCAATTTCAATATCACAAAAAATAATAGTAGCTTAAGAAAAGAATCTCAAGCTTACTGATGACAAGAGTCACAAATAATAATAGAATAAAGTCACATAAGAAATACTTGAATAACTTAAAGCACTGAACAATATTATATTGTATAAAGTAATCAAATATACAATACATGGTTTTCACTATAAATTCAATATTCATTCTTGTTAATTTTGCAAACGTGATTCAGTCAAGGGCAGTAAATTACTTTCTTTCTGATGTTTGATTAACATTATTGACACAAATGGCGACAGCAGCTTTATTAGCAGCTCCTGTCACTTTAAGACCTCAGGGTCTTTTACAGTCTATGGTCGGAACTTGTACGCTGTGCAAAATCTAAAGACTAAAAAGTAAGATTTACCTGGTTTAATTATAAATTAAAATAAATTATAAACTTACATGATGGCGCAGCAAAATTTACATATTTCTGCCAGATATCATATTCTGAGAATATGATGAAACAACAAAAGCAATATCCAATCATATTAATAATCAAACTTACTGAAAATTGGTGGGGTCGATGATGACGATGTGTCTTTATCTGCTCCAACATGTGCCCGGCCCACTTGCTGTTCCTCAACTTCTCCGTGATCATCAGCTTTAGTAAAATAACCCGATAGTTTGGGGATTTTACTGAGCAGCTCATATGTTTCCTCTGCTGTTTAGCTATAAAATAATTCCTTTTTTGAGCCCCACTTGCACATGTTTTTTTTAAAGATGATATTTTATTAGCTTTGCTATCGAAGACAAAGATAATGCGTGAGAATTTTAAGAATAGTCTAGAATGAAGTGAAGAGGGGGAGGCGATTGATTGGTTGATGCATAAATTCTAATAAGGCAGCCATAATCTGATAAGCCTACGTGCAGCAGCGGGTCGATCATTCATAAGTTAAATATAGAACAAATGTATTTGATTGGTCTTGGTATTTCAAATTAAAACGTGACGTTTCAATCCACCATACCCTGCTGCCCACGGGGGTTTGATTGACAGGCGACTTCACAAATCATAACGACAACAGGCAATTTTGTCCGATAAACGTCGGTGGACTTGAACTTGAAAATGGTACGGTTTAAATTACTTAGATGACAATATTTGAAAGTTGAGACTTTATTTCATATCAACATAAGCTGCTCTAAACTCTCTCTTGTATATCGGCGCATAGTCACTCAGTGTAACGTTAGTCTTTGCACCGCAATGTATTTTTCACTGCGTGAGTGATACATTAAGGGCCCTGTTTTATCGATATGAAACACAAGTGTCATAGCGCAAAGCGCAAGTAACTTTGTGGGCGGATCCCGGCGCAGTTGCTATTTTCCCAGCGGGATAAGTGCCTCTTGCGCCTGGCGCAAATCTAAAAGGGGTTGGTCTGGAGTAGCTTCATTATTCATAGGTGTGGTTTGGGCGTAACGGAAATAAACCAATAAGAGTGTCATATCACATTCCCTTTAAGAGCTTGATGAACGAGGTGTGCTTGTTCCATGGCGCAGTCCTATTTTAACGGCGGATTTACCAGACGCGCTTTACAATCAGTTCACAGCCGAGGAGATCGATGTTTTCGTCAGGGCCGTAAAAGAAAGAGAAGTGACATTGGGGATGGGACAAACACACCCAAATTAGCTTCGGTTAAACATGCATATAATAATTTGGGTAAATGTGTAAGCTTTATGCCTATTTTCCCCATCGTCATGGACACAACAATGATTTCCCTCATGTTTATATATTTTTCCTTATAATAATGTATCATTTGCAAAAAGTAAAATGCATCTGTGTAGCTGAGAGAATCATCTACAGTGTATGCGCGTTGTTCACACTCTGTATTATGGCCAATCATGCGCGCTTAAAATAGCATCTGAATGTACGCGCAACGCACCACTGACTTTATACCAGGTTTTTTCTGGTCATTGGCGCAATTGTTTTCTGGAACTGCAAAATAGCACCAGGGATTGTTTGCGCCGAAACACGCCTCCTTTTTGCGCCAACTTTAAGAGGTTCTCTAGACAATGCAACTTCCAAGTTCCTACGTAAGTACTACTGTATGTGATTCAGCTATTTTTGTGGAATAAAGATACAAGTAGTGTGATCATATGAGCAAGTCCAACAAATGCCATTCTTTCTCACCCTCTGTCCTTTTTTCTTGTGTCCTGTTTTTCAGTGTCCCATCATAATAAGTACTGTATATGATGTCAGTATTTTCCAACATTTTCTAAATACTGTACCAGTACTGTGTAAAATCCCATCAAGAAGTCAATTAAGTGTTATTCTTTTTCACCTTTCTTTCTTTGTCTCCTTTCACTTTTTAAAGGCTGCCATGTTGAAAAAAAAAATGTATTATTGATTATTAATATTTCCTAGAGCTACGTTCCTTACATGCCTGAATACTGTCAAGAGCAGAACAGTGGTCCCACTAGCCCCTTTTCCACCAAAGCATTTTGAGAGCCGGTTCGGAGCCGGTGCCTGTGAGCGAACCAGTTCCTTGTGTTTCGACAGCCAAAGAACCGGTTCTCGGCCAGGAGAACTGGTTCCAAAGCGGCACCAACCCTTTGCTGGACTAGAACCCGTTCTTTTACCACGTCATGCTTACGTCGGGGATGGGGCGGGTTTAGATGTGTTTTAAACATCTTTTTTGACCATAATAAAGGATCGCAAAGCCAAGAGAAACATTTGCAGAAACACGATGGAGTGTGCCTTTGTAATTGTTATGCTTGAAGTTAACGCAGGCGTTTCTATTTTTGTAAAAAAAAATTATTGAAGACATTATAAGCAAAGAAGAAAACAGTCACAATATAGAACAAATAAATGGAAAGAAAAAAGGCACAAGACAGGGGTACATAACTAATCAAAAAAGATTACATACCAAACGAAAAGATTAAAAGACTTACATATTTTTAATTGTTTTTAAAGCCTTCTTGGTACATGAGTTAAAAATAGGGTGACCACTCGTCCCACTTTGAACTGTTTCTAAAATATTTATATACATGATTCCTGCTGCCTTTGGGCTCAGTGATGCTGAATTTAAATGACTTTTTTTGGGGGGGACAAAAGATTTTTTTTCTGGAAGGGACTAAAGAACAAATCATTTTTATCAGCTGAAAGGCAGAATATAAATGTTTTTATCAAGTTAGATAGACATTATATAAAATTTTCAGGGTATGTTTTAATGTTGGTAACATGTCCCACATGGTCCCACACAAACTTATAATTGTCCCACATTTGGTTTGTTTGATGGTGGTCACCCTAGTTAGAGATAATCCCAAAGTAATGTTGTACTTGCAAGCGTTTCTAGCTAAGACGTATGGCGACGTACACAGTGATGTAACAACGTCGTTCCCTGGGCACTTTAGTCAGTGGAAAAACAAATAGGTTCTGAAGCGGTTCGCAAGTTGAACCAGCTCCGAACCAACTTTGAACCAGCACCAGTTCCGAACCAGTTCTTTTTTTGGTGGAAAAGGGGTAACTGATATTTTTCAGAGGCTCCTGGGGCAAATGGCAGCCGCAGTAATGCCGTTTGGCTTGCTCCATGTGAGACCACTTCAGCACTGGCTTCACAGCTGAGTCCCAAGTTGGGTGTGGCAGAGCAGCATGCTCCGTGTGACAATCCCACCAGCCTGCCGCCAAACCCTCAACCTGTGGTCAGACCCTTTGTTTCCAGCCCATTCTCACCCCCAAGGCGTCACTTAACTGACGCCTTGGGAAGCATTTGGACATGCTTCAATATCTGACGCTTTAGGCGCCCTTTAGCGTCAGTCAGATGATGCCCTAGGATCGTGTGTACCCTACCCCCACCCCACACCTAAACCTAACCGCGTCCTCTAACTGACGCTTTCCTTTAGCGTCAGTTAGATGACGCCGTAGGATCGCGTCATGTAAGTGACGCTAAAGGCCGCCTAAAACGTCAAATATTGAAGCATGGTCAAAGGTGACGCCTTGGGGTGAGAATGCGTTGTTGTTTCTCAGGGCCAGAGTGCCCCTAGAACAAGTGTCCAAACATGCTGTGGTGTGGTCTACACAAACACAAATGCAAATGCATATAAAGGTTAAATATCTTCTTGACTATTATTTTATGTCAGGCTTTACCGAGTTAAGAATCCCCAGTGGTTAAATATATTGCATAAATATTTATCTGCTCTTGTGATGTTTTTCTCTGAGGCACAAGCAAATGTATTCAAGGATTATTCACATTTTTGCACCTCCGTGATAGATTAAAAAATTCACATACCAACAAGTATTTTTATTCAACAATATTTATTTTTTGTGGTTTTGTCTGCTCTGCACTTTTAGATTTTTGTTTCTATCAAATTAGATATTTAGTAGGGGTGGACTGTGGTTTTAATGTCATACACAGATTTTCAGTTACACTGACTTTAAATGTTGATTTCAAATCAAATTTCAAATCAAGGTTTATAGGGATTGGAACTGAATGGTTGGTTGAAGTAGCTCTCTTTGGAGTGACTGCTCAGAGACCCCAGAGCAAGACTTAAACTGAATGTTCATGTTGCGCCATGGTTATGTTGACATTTCATCAGCTCCTTTGGGCAGTGTGTGACAAACTCATCTCCAGTAATTAATGTAAACACTGTCCTTGCAGAGCTCCCTTAAGCTCTCAACTAAGGTCAAAACTGTTTATTAAACCTAATGAATATGACTGGGATTTGCACATTCTCAGGGGGGAAACGTTAAAGTTCATCTGATTAAAAAAGGCTCAAAAATCCCCAAGCAACAATGCTTCACTATAAACATAGATGTATTGTGACAAGACAAGGTTTTTACAATATATTCCTCATGTTTTTAGTTGTTGGTTTTTTTCTCTCTTTTTTTTTTAAAGAAATCCCATATTATTTATTTATCATGGATTTTATTGTTATTAGATAAATGACAATGACAGTGATGCAAGCTTTGATCAGGTTGTACAGTGTGTATAAACTGTTGTGGATCCAAAAGGCTTTTCAAGGTCTTCTTAACATTCTAAAAGGAATTGTACTTCTAGATGTTTAACTTTCCTCAGTTTTCACACTTTTAATATTTTTTGGTCATCATTAACTTTTCAAATGGTGATCTCAATGCAATTAACTTTCAGGCATACTTCTTGTTCCACTGCCAGAAATTGTGACATATAATTACAAAGCAAACACACACAGTTTCCCAACAAACACTATTAATTGTTCCATGCATTTACTAAAAGATACACACTGTTAAATGTTTGTACCCCCTTGATAGATTGAAAAATTCACATACCAACAAGTATTTTTATTCAACAATATTTATTTCTTGTGGTTTTGTCTATACAAGCATTGCACTTTTAGATTTTTGATATGCACAATTGCTCTGTTTCTATCAAATTAGATGTTTAGTAGGGGTGGACTGCGGTTTTAATGTCATACATATATTTTTAATTCCACTGACTTTAAATGTTGTTTTCAAATCAAATTCACAAGGTTTATAGGGATTGGAACTGATTCTAAAATCTTAACATTCTAAAAGGAATTGTACTTCTAGATGTTTAACTTTCCTCAGTTTTCACACATTTATATTTTTTGGTCATCATTAACTTTTCAAATGGTCATCTCCAAAGGCATACTTCTTGTTCCACTGCCAGAAATTGTGACATATAATTACAAAGCAAACACCCAAAGTTTCACAAACACTCTTAGTTGTTCCATGCATTTACTAAAAGATACAAACTGTTTACCATCAAATATATTTTAAAATAATAATAATAAAAAAACATGTCTCTTGTACCCAGTAGCCAAGTACATTGACTTCATGCATCTAACCAGCTAACAAAAAAATATGTTCTAAGAACATTTTGCTAATGCTGCATTAAGTTATGAAAACATTTTCTATTAAAGTTCTCTAAACGTTAATTTTTTAGGGTTATCTGAATGGTAAGGGAACAATCCATTTTTATTATTTTCCCAACCATTTAACATTGCTGTCCTGATTCAGAAGTAAAATGGATGATAATAGAAATTCATATTATAAAAGCTTGTTCATGCCTAATAAATCAAATGGTTTCATAATGTTAAAATCATTATCCCAACTTGTTCTGTTGATTTTGGTAGGCTGATTTCTTGATTAAAATGCCCCAACATCACATGACTATCAAATAGATCATACAAATGATAACTAAACTCTTATTTGCAAGATGTTGTCTATGGTCATATGAGAATAGGTTACTGTGGATGGCTTGTTGCCAGGCCTACAGGTCGATGTTGGTTGCCAGACGCAGACAGAGTACAGCTTCAGTGGGTATGTCTTGGGCTCTGATTGCATTGGCATCCAGGCGTAGTACACGCAGATTAGAGTAATTCTTTGTGTCCACAACTCTGCAAAAACTGCTCACTGAAAATTCTGAGAAATTTAGGGAAAGGATTAAGTTATTGTCTTATTCAAGCACAAACAAAGCCTAAACAGGGACATGAATGATTTGCATAATAATTATCATACACTCTTAAAAGAAAAGGTTCTATATAGATGAAAGGTTCTATATACAAATGAAGTTGTTGGTCAAATGGTCGCATGTAGACAGGGTGTGTCACTGTCTACTACATGTGTCGTTGTTTCCTGAAGGAACTGTGTTATGTTGTTATCTATTGTCATGTGATGTGCTAGAACTTTGACTTTGATATCACAAGAGACAATTGAAAGACATTTTCACTCTATAAATACTGAAATGGTTTGTTTATTTGATTTTTTTTCCTTTCAAATTTTATTTTAATTTTTATTTCACTTTATTGCTGAAGTGAAAGCATGTATAAGAGTAAACAAAGTTGTAGAAGTTTAAAACGACTAAAGCAAATTAATTGTACTAAACATTTTGATAACACTTTATAATAACTACACACTAATAATAATTAGTTAAGCATGCGTAAATAGTTAATTCATCATCCATAAAGCATTAATAGACATCAATATTTAAGCAGTTTACAAATACAGCAATAAATGCTTTCTTCTTGATTTAAAAGTATTTCTATAATTTGTTTAATAATTGTATTTTCATCCTTTATTAACGATCAATTTATCATTTCTAAATGAAGAATTGCATTTTTTTTAATAAACCAGTTATTTAAGTGTTGTCAGTGTTTCATTAGATTACTTAGAACATGTAAGTAAATGATTAATAAACTATTTAAATGTACATTCACACGTCTTATTATTCAGACATATAGTGATGGTTAATAAATGCTTTTTAACGTATCTATGCTGTAATTCAGGGTTAATTCGGGTAGTTATAAAGCATTTAGTAAGACTATCCATGCCTTGTAAAGCATTTATAAAGGAGCTTTAAATGCTATTAAATACTTCTATGTTCTGTGTCACTGTGTTGTGTTTAACACAATCTCACATTTTACTGTTTAGAAAATGGATGCGCCTTTAAATCTCCTTTATAAATGTTTTACAAGACATGAATAGCCCTCACTTTAGATGAGCTCACAAAATAGTTAACTGACCATTACTAAATGCTTTATAACTACCTGTATTATTTACTACTTTTACTTACACTTTCTAAGTGATCTTATGAATGATGTCAACTCTTACTTAACTGGTTTGTAAATAATGCTATACTTCATTTAGAAATGATTAATTGATCATTAACAAAGTATGAAAATACAATTATTAAACACATTAGATATGCTTATACATAGATAGATATGCTTATAAATCAAGAAAAAAGCATTTACAGCTGTATTTATAAACTGATTATTAATGTCTATTAATGCTTTATAAATGATGAATTAACTGTTTACTCATGCTTAACTAATGATTATTAGCGTCCAGTTATTATAAAGTGTTACCAACATTTTATATTTTATACAATATATATACAGTATATATATATATATATATATATATATATATATATATATGAAGAGTTCAGATGCAAAAGCCTCTAAATGCCATTTAAAATTTTCTTCTTTAATGATGATTTTTATCAAACTTGTATATTTAAGTTCAGTAATTTCACTTAAATGGCAATGATAATTACCTATTAATTGTTATTTAAGTGAAATTACTGAACTTAAATATACAAGTTTGATAAAAATCATCATTAAAGATGAAAATTTCAAATGGCATTTAGAGGCTTTTGCATCTGAACTCTTCATATATATACATACATACATATATATATATATATATATATATATATATATATATATATATATATATATATACATACATACATATATATACATACATATATATATATACATACTGTGGTGAGCAGGACGGCCGAGGGACGTGAGAGAAAGTCGCGAGGCCGGTGGTGCGATTGCTAATGAGCAGCACCTGTGAAGCACACCGGTCTCGCATCTCTCACGAAGGAGCGGAGCCATAAAGGGGGAGCGACGGAGTGGATGATCGAGAGAGGAACAGGCCTGCTTTTATTTGTATTTTATATTTTATTTGGTAAGCCAGCAGTCGTCCGTGAGGGGCTGCTGGCCGGTATTTATGTTTTATTTTGGGTAGCCAGCAGTCGTCCGCGAGGGGCTGCTGGCAGGTAATTTGTTTGTTTATTTTATTTAAATAAAGTTTTATTTTATTATTATTATCCGGTTCCTGCCTCCTTCTTCCCTGAACCTTGTTACACATACATACATATATATATACATGTATATATTTGACTAAATTATCTAAAAATGCCATGAAATCAAAGTCATGTCTAACTAAGTTGTGTTTCAAATGTGAATTTGATATCACAAAAAAAATGTGTTTGTCTAGGCACATGCATCTCATTGGAAAGGTCTGAGACTCAAGGTTCGATGACTGTTTTTTTAATGATATGTTTTGTCAAGATTAGAAAAGGGTTTGATTATAAAATAGTTCTGTAACTTTTGTCATGAAACATGACACCACCAACTAGGGGTAAGAGCCCACTAAAAGGTACTGTTTCCATGGCAATTAAATGTCTGATTTCAAAATGTTTTTTCACTGATAAATACTGAAGGTGTAAGCTTTCAAATGATACCTTATGATGACTAATATATGAGAGTAAAAAGAGGCAATAAAAACAGATCACCAAGCGACCAGATAGCAGGATGGTGAATTGCAATTTTTGATTATAGGAATTTAATTGCACCATTTCTTTTTCTTTTTTTTTCTTCTTTTTTTTTTGTATATGGAAGCACATATGCAATATACATTTCTAAAAAAAATTGGCTGTTTTGAAACATGCCACTAGGGCAAGCTCATACTTTCAGGAGAAGATATGGAAATAAGCCTCTGACATGCCTGGTCTTATCTGTAACATTTTCCGGTGTTTGTTCTGTACCTTTGATCTTGTTGGCCTGGAGATACAGATTCTCCAGACTGGTGCTGATAGTGGGAATCCTCTCCAGCTTGTTGAAGGACAGATCGAGTTCCACAAGTGTGCTGACATTGAAAGCGTTGGGTGGAATTCCTCCATTGGTGAGCTGGTTGTGGGACAGCCGTACGAAGCGCAGCTCAGGCCGTTGGCTCAGGAAGTCAGCAGGAATGCTGGATATATGGTTGTATTCAAGGTACAGTTGGCTCAGCTTTGGCGGCAGACTTTCTGGAATCTTCTTCAATCGGTTCCCTCGCAAGTCTAACAGGGTTAAGGACAGCAGACCATCAAGTGCGTGACCGAGATCTTCAATGGCATTCATTTGGAGATGGAGGGCCGTCAGGTTGCTCATTCCACGGAAAGAGTGGACCGGGACTACCGAAATGTTGTTGTGGTTCAAGTGTATATATCGTAGGGAACTTGGTAAACCCTGTGGAACACGGCTCAGGTTGTTGTTGTGTAAAAAGAGGCGCTCAAGGTTTGGTAGTTTAGCGAAGACTTTGTCAGCAATCTTGTCAGAGCTCAGTTTATTTGTCTGCATGCAGATCCAAGCTAAATTTGGAGCATTATCAAAGATGCCATTTGTGATTCCTGTGATCTGGTTATTTTGCAAGTATACATACTTAATATGAGATGGTACGAACGGCACGTGCTGTAGTCTGCGGGTGTTGCAGTACATTGCTTTGGGGTAGGTAGAAGGACAGTCACACTCCAAAGGGCAGTCCAGCACAGAGGGCTCATCCTCTGTACTTGAAGAGGCGAGATTGTTATTGTGGCTACGGCCATAACCATGACTGTAGGCTCGGTTGCGCAGATAACTTAGCCAGGTCAAAGAGTTGGTCTGTTGTGTCATGGAAAAATTGACAAGACTTGCCAGCAAAAGCAGAAAAATCCAACCTCTCATTGTCCCTACGAGTTGCCTGTCAAGACACAAATACCAGCCAGATCTCATGAAATGTGTCTCTATAGCACGCATTGTATTTATCGTGCAATTTATATGCAAAAATGTGTTTTTATCAGTGTTGGGGAGTAGTTAACTCCAAGTAGCGACGCTACTAACTTAACTACATTTTTTAGTAGCTTGGCAGAAGCTCAGTTGCTTTTTAAACTGTCTAGCTTTTCCAATATCTAACTACTTTTTGCAGCAAGTAGCGGTGTAGCACGAGCAAAAGCTACATTTCGTTTGTCGAGCCTGCGCGAATCAGCATCACGTATCTTGCGGCTAACTGCGGTTCACTGACGTACAGATGTGGGTTGACACCTGTCTATGGTTGACACACCCATAATATGATTATCCATGATGGAACAAGACGTGACGGCAGATTTGGAGGATGGAGAAACAACGTTAATTACCAAAGGCCTTATTTGTCCAAGTTCAATCTGTATTTTTGAATGCAATTTACGTTGGATGTATATTTCGTTCTTGCAATTATGTAGGCTATTCGCAATTTTGCACTTTTGACAGTCTGAGATATTTGAGTGTTGTGTGTAATAAAAAAATACTCTTTGAAATCATATTTGCATTGCCTTGTTTTAAACACTAAATATTTTACTTAAAACATTCCTCAAAAACTTATTCAGTTATTTATAATATACGTTGTTCAAAAAAAGCTAAAGTTTCAATGTAGCTACTTTTTGATAGTAACTTGTAGTGTAGCTAACTACTTTTCCAAAAGGGTAGCTTGACTGTAGTTAATCTACTTTAACTTAAGAGTAGCTTGTAGCTTGTCAAACTACAGTTTCAGAGTAGCTTCCCCAACGCTGGTTTTTTATGCATGTGATACTCTGTTATCACAGGCATATGATACACACTTTATAGTGTGTAATACACAGTGTGGGGGACGCTACTCTGAAACTGTAGTTTGACAAGCTACAGGGGTTGGACAATGAAACTGAAACACTGGCCAATGTTGGAGGTTTCACATCTATATGCCTGGCGGCCAATCTTCAGAGTGAAGCACGGGTGGATCAGTGATGTTTTGAGCTTCAATATCATGACAATCCTGATTGTATTTGATGGACACGACACTGCCGAGGACTACCAAACCCTTCTGGAGGATCATGAGCACCTGATGCTCAAACCGTGTATCAGCATGATCATGCACCAACACACACAGCAAGACTTGTGACAGAAGGGTTTGATGAAGATGAAAGTGACGTTGAACATCTCCCATGGTCTGCACAGTCACCAGATCTGAATATTATTGAGGTGTTTTGGAGGAGCGAGTCCACCAGCATCATATAGTGACCTGGACACTGTTCTGGAATAGGAACGGCTCATAATCCCTCTGGTCACTGTGAAGGACTTCTATCTGTCAATTGGTGCTGTATTTGGATGCAAAATGAGGCCCTTACCATTCTAACAAATTATTGTGTTGTAAGACCAGGTGTTTCAGTTTCATTGTCCAACCCCTGTATTACACACAACACTCAAATATCTCAGTCTGTTTGTCAAAAGTGCAAAATTGCAACAAATAGCCTACAACATTGCAAGAACAAATTATACGTTCAACATAAATTGCATTTAGAAAATTTTGCATTTAGAAAAAACAAAACAAAAAAAAACAAAAAACGATTGACCTTGGACAAATAAGACCATGGGTAATTAACGTTAGTTGTTTCTCCATCATCCAAATCTGCTGTCACCTCTTGCTCCATCATGGATAATCATAATATGGGTGTGTCACTGTCAACCCATTTCTTTACGTCAGTGAACCGTTAGCCGCAAGATGCATGATTAAACAACAGGTGGCGGTAATGGCAAAAAATTAGTTTGTAATCTAACAAGAAGAAGAATATCCTTGCATCGCGCTGATTCGCACAGGCTCGACAAATGCAATGTAGCTTTTGCTCGCGCTACACCGCTACTTGCTGCAAAAAGTAGTTAGCTACTGGAAAAGCTACACTGTTTAAAAAGCAACTGAGCTACTGCCAAGCTACTGAAAAATGTAGTTAAGTTGGTAGTGTCGCTACTTGTAGTTAACTACTCCCCACACTTACCCCACACCACAAATACCAGCCTAATCTCATGAAATTTAGCACACATTGTATAATCATGCAATTTATACACAAAAAATTGTTTTTACGTGCATATGACACGCAGTTTTGGAGTGCATATAATACACACTTTATGGTGTGTAATACACACGTACCTCACACCAATAATCCTACCCAAGGGGTTTACAGTAGCCTGACTTCATCATACTCATTTTCTTGTCGGAATATGAGTCTGAGACCACTCCGTAGGGCTTTGATTATGAGGCGTGTCTTAACCAAACCAGGAAAAAAAAAAAAAAAACTCTCAGAAAAAAAAAAAAAACAATCAGAGCAACCGCGGTAACTCAACAACTTTGCATAGTGCAGTTTTCAACTATAGAACTTACTTATTTTAGAAGTAAAATAACGAGTGTTGCTTCTTTTCCTTACTCCTCCATGAGTGCGACCAAAGGAGAAACCACAACGACCACAGGCTTTTCATTACGTCCCATCTTCTTAGCGACCGTCAGAGCCAGCTGATAAGTTACACTTTTCCCGAATCATGTAGGAAGGACGCCAAAAATATCTTTCTGATCGACAAATGCCTTGATTGCAGTTCTCTGTTTGTCTATTAAAATTATTGCGCTGTCGATTTATTTTACAACAGACGCAACAGCGGAATCTATACATCTCAATTCTCCAGCTCCAGTCATCTTTGACTGTTGGAGACCAGTTTAGCGCTCTTTGATAACGTGAGGATTACGTCCCTGCAGCTCACCTGTCCATCATCGTATAAAGCCCGACCTGGCAATTTGATTGGCCCGAACGTTTCTTGTCTGATCATAATTACTCCTCAATGGATCGAGTCCAGACCGAACTTCCCGACCAAAAGATGTTGTGGGCGGAGTTCGGGCTGGCATCTAGGCTAGGTTTACAGTGAAATGCACGTAAAAACTCATTTTCGTGTTTAAAATTCATCTTAAATACAATGCGCGCTATAGAGATGCATTTCATTAGATCAGGTTGGACATACATTATGTAAATTATTTATCTTTTCTGAGACCACTAGTGAAAAACACTTCTGTTTTACAATTTTTTATATAATTAAATAGCCATTCGTTATTAGAAATTACTCATAATCAAATTGTGTTTTTTTCCAATACAAATTCTTTAAATTATTTTCAAATAGTATTATTATTATTATTATTATTATTATTATTATTGATGATGATGTCATGATGATCATCTTGTTAAAGAGCATAATGTGTGTATATTGAAGAAAGAACATTTGACTGTCTGTACAAACTATCACATGATCAATGTCACACACATTTGGTTTGATTAGTGACACTGAAATTTCTTTTTAATTTCATTTCATAAATGAACATAGTGAACACACAAATGTATATAGTCAGTATAGGCACATAACATTTCCTTGTGCTTCAATATGAGCAGTTTTAAAGGACATTATTACTGCTCTCAAGCCTCAAGGAGCTGACATGCATCTTAAATCTTCCTGACAATAAACTATCATTACAAGAAATCATAATTATTTGTATGAGGTATGTTTAACAGTACATCTCTCAGAGCAAAGTTCTGGTTAAAACTAACACAGTCTTATGAAAATTCCCTCAGGTCTGGGCAAGTATGCCACAAGGGATCTCATTCTTTGCATTTTTTTTTTTTTCAAAAAAAAAAAAAAAAAGCACAATGTTTTGGAGTTTTGCCTAAGGGAAGCTTCGGTACTGTTTAAAGACTTGATGATGGATAAATCCGTCTTTTTGGTGCTGCATGGTGACAGCTTAAAATCACTACACTTATGTACATAATACATCTGCTTAAATTCTTGTTTAAACATGTATCGTGTTATTAATTTGGTTCAGTGAGGGGGTGTAACATGTTTATGGATCAAGCATAAGTTTATGGATGTGTCTAATTGACTTACTAGTTAACACTTTATATTATTGTCTTTAATGTTTTTACGAACATCAAAAAAATAGGTACAATGTACTTATTGTGTTCATGTTGTATTGCAAAGCACTTGCTGTTACGGGTACAGGTGAAGTTAGGAACAGGTGGGGTAAGGAAAGTACAAGCGCATTTTATCAAATTTTAATTTTACTACATAGTAGTGTAAAGAGACACTTACCGGATCGGATTCATGTCTTTCTATCATGTCTTTCTTCAAAACCCATGAATAATATCAAAATCATAAAGACATTTGTTTATGTTGAAGAGAAAGAACAATACTTGCTCTTCAATCCTATTTGTGCGTTGTTGTTTGTTTGTTTGTTTTTTCAAACTACGGTTCAGGGTTTTGGTTTAAGAAGTAAACTTCCTTGAAGAAAATGGCTATAATCGTGTAACATTATTACCCCAACCCGATCTCACGACCAAGTCGTACGAATTCGACGAATGATTAAAAAGTGGCTAATTCGTAACAATTCATACGACCTCACTCGTACGAATTAATACGATTTTGCTAAATCGTACATATTTTACGAATTGGCCAATTCGTATGAATTCGTACGAATGACCTACCCCTTACCCCGCCCCTAAACTTAACCATCACGTGGGTTTAGACAAATCGTACGAATTAGTACGAGTGAGGTCGTACGAATTAGTACGAATTAGCCACTTTTTAATCATGCGTCGAATTCGTACGAATTGGTCGTGAGATAGTGTTGATTACCCTTTAAGTTTCATAAGGCAGACTAATGTCCTTAATAAAAATTAGAGAAAGTTCAGAGAGGAAAAATAATAAAATCCCATTAAAGTCAAGAGTCAAGTTATATGTAAACTACATGGACGAACAAAAAACAATTATCTTCTTCATTAAAAAAAAAAAAAAATCAAGAACTTTTTTATCATAATGCGGGGTAGACTTTCATCCAACATATCTACTAAAATAAAGATTAAACACATACCTGTGTTTGTAGACTTTGTGGTTTTCCGGTCTTTTGTGTGTGTTTCAGTCACTTTGGAATAAGAAAAGTGTAGAAAAGGGGGTAAATTAAAAAAAAAAAAAATCATGCTCCATGCAAATGTTAAATAATGAACCTAGCACATAATTAATTTTTGTATTACACACGCACTGTAATTGTGAAATACATTTCTAGACATGCAGAAGAAAAAAACATGAACTGTACCTTGTTTTATGTACCTCGCTTTATACAAAAGACCACATTCCAACGAACGGATACAGTTGTACAGAGCCTTCTGTGCAAAGCCTTTACAGTGAACATTTGTCTTATGCTTCACTAACATGTTATGCTGTGTTTTGTGCCTGAGGCTTTGTGAATATGAGTGCCAAAACATCTGCATTTTAACAGCCTGGTTTCATAGATTCTGTAAGGACGGGACCCCTGCCTTATCATTATCCCTACAGAATGAGCCTTTGTGTGCGTGCATTTTTGGGGTATTTGACTTAGTATGATCCGGCATGCTTTATCTTTGGTTTAAATTACAGTGGTTTTAAAGGGTTACTTAACATTAAACTATGCTGTGAACTCTATTCAAATACCTTGTAGTTGAAACAACAGATTTGAGTGAAACCAATAAAACTGGACATGTCAACATAGCCCAGAATCTCTAACAACTGGCGAGCAATAGTAAAAGCTAAAAGCATTGTTATATAAATTACAAAAACAAAACAGGTACCCATAAATATCAAAGGGTTCAAAATTAAGAACCCATTATGGATCATTGCAAGCGTTTAAATGGTCTTAATGAATGGAAGGTGTTGTTTTATGTGCAAACTATTTCCATCAAATTAAGAAATCCCCAGAAAACTTGGAAATATTTAACCATATGTGTTTGTTTGTTTTTTCTATGTTTATAAAACGTCATGGTGTATTTCATTAAATCATCATGGCTGAACCAACATAATGGGGAAAGTACTCATATGGAGACAATTAGTCATTCATTTATTTGTCACAAGGGAATGTTTAACCAGCAGTCATTGAGCTTAATGCAGATTGTTTTATACTTGATTTAAATAATGCGCACAGATGTGTATTATATAACATTGTGATGTAATGGTTTAGGCTGTTGTTTATAGCCGGGTGCATATACATAACATAACACACTCCCCAGCGTATCAAACACAGCAAGCATTACAAAACAAACATTACTTAATTGGTTTTAAAAAGTGAATGATAAACTGGAGAGCAAAAACCTTAATTGACTTGCTACAGTGTTAAAAGAAATGTGATACTTAGCTGACTTTCTGCAACAATGAAATAAACCAATACAGTGATTGTACAGTACACTTCAAAAGATAGTCAGCAAGAGTCAAAAAATAGCTTTTTCAACAACATTAATTTGATCAAACGTGACAGTAAATGCATTTATACTGATACAACATATTTCTTTTTCAAATAAATGCTGTTCTTTGTAAATTTCGGTTACACTTTATTTTGCAGTTATTTTGCAGTGTTCCTTGTTAAATATTTTACACATTTACATTTATCCATTTAGCTAACGCTTTTACCCAAAGTGACTCACAATTGCTATATATGTCAGAGGTCGCATGCCTCTGGAGCAACTAGAGGTTAAGTGTCTTGCTCAGGGACACATTGGTGTCTTGCAGTGGATTCGAACCCGGGTCTCTCACACCAAAGGCATGTGTCTTATTAACACAGTCTCATCCCAAAAAGTCATATAACTGACGTCTTGGGGCGTTTTTTGACCATACGTCAATATCCGCCTTTTTAGGGCCCCCTTAAACGTCGGTAGATGGCGATCCCGGGCCGTCATACAACTGACGCTTTACCTTTAACGTCAGTAAGGTGACGCGTTGGGTTTAGGGTTAGGTTTAGGTATGGGGTAGAGTTAGGATCCCATAACCTCATCTACCGACGTTTAAGGGGGCCCTAAAAAGGCGAATATTGACGTATGGTCAAAAGACGTCCCAAAACGTCAGTAATATGACGTCTTGGGATGAGACCGGGTTGGTCTTATCCACTGCACTATCAAAATGCACCACAAAATCCTATCCTAACCCTATACATGTAGTTAATTATTATTGCTAAGTACTTAAATGTAGAATTTCACTGTAACACGCAAATAAAGTGTAACCCAAATTTCTATTCATCAAATAATCTTATTATATCATATTATATTACATATTTGTGTCAGTTTTTCAACTTTTTTCAACCTTAAAATTTTTTATAATAATAAATGTTTCTTGAGCACAGAATCAGCATTTCTAAATGATCATGTGAAGGAAGACTGTGTTTTTGCCATCATAGGAACAAATTACATTTTAGAATAAATTAATATAGAGAACAATTGTTTTAAATGAATGATATTTCACACTATTACAGTTTTTATTTTGCCTTGGTGAGCAGAAACTGAAATCTTACCGATTCCAAACTCGTGTGTGCACAGAAGGCATTAAAGGCACACTATGCAAGATTTGTACCTTAAAGGGTTAGTTCACCCAAAAATGAAAATTAAGTCATTAATTACTCACCCCCATGCTGTACCAACCCCGTAAGACCTTCGTTCGTCTTCGGAACACAAATGAAGATATTTTTGATTAAATTTGAGAGCTGTATAACTACCACATTGGCTGCCTAAGGGACTGCCTCTTGACCAGGGACGTGCACAGGGGGGTTGCTCAGGTTGCCCGGGCAACTGCCCATATGCCCTTCTCGACCCAGGTTGCCCTTCCGAGGAAAAAAAAATCGTACAATGGATGTACAATTTCACGTAGGCCTAGACAAAAAAAATAAAATAAATAATATAAAAATCGCAAAGCCTCATTCACTTCCATTCGGGCACTGAAAGTGAAAGTCAAACTGTTTACGTGGCTGCAGTGCCGCACGCGTGGTAAGGCACCGCAAATTACTCAGGCCGCGCCTCCATCTCTTGTCGCGCTCTAATTAATGTGTACGAAGTCCATGACAAAATGAAGCGAAACTATCCTTCTCGTCACAAAAAGAGGAAGAAGAAAAACATGAGAGTGAATTGCGGGAACAGCAGTCAGGTAAACTTGTGTTCTCTCCTCTCGTTTGATGTCAGCAAAGTTTGATGGTTTTTGGTCTTGCTAACTATCTGGGCAGACAGTGCATCTCTTGCATCACTTTTTGCCTGACAAATGTGAGAGTAAAATACCATTATTTATTACGTTTTGTTTTTGATAAACGACAAAGTGCAACAACAGTGTTTGTTTACTGCAGCTCGGAAAACATAACCGCGTCGCGTGTGTTGCGTTCATATGCGCGTGCACGAAATGAAACTCGCATTTTTCAAGCAGAAATGTGGAGACCAGAAATACTGTACAATACGTCAATGATGGCACTCCCAATCAAAGTACACATTTTAAAGACACTGATTATCTAGTCTCAGTGTAGTTAAAAACTCTAAACAACTGCACTAATTATGCAAGATAGAAACCAATGTATTGGCAATTTGACATTGATTGATTGACTATTGATTTATTGGCTATATTGAATTTAAAATGATGATTAGCTGGACATTCTGGTCAATATGAATGCAAATCCCTCAGTAAATAACCATAAATCAAGATTTGCTTTAATTTTTTTTTTTAAATATAAAAAAAATCATAGGCTACTGATTCCGAAAATACCCTGGCTGTAGAGTGAACCAAAGTTAATCCCAAAAGCCAAAGTTCAGGGTTGTACTTTATTATTTTCTTCTTATTTATGTTTACGTTAATATTCACTTGTTATCTTAACATTCTATAAAAATGCTTTATTCAGTAAATATTGTTTGTTTGAACCTCATTCTGTTCTATAGACCATTTCACAAGATGTAAACAACGCTGGTCCAGAAGCACGTCCTGTTTCAGTTTTTTAACACTACATAAAAGCTGGGATAAAATACAACCAACAGAACATGTAAAACTGAATCAAAAAGTTAAACAACATCTTTAAGATGTTTTCTTTACATGTGAAATAAAGAAAACCGTTACAGACTGAAACAGGAAGTGTTTCTGGACCAGTGTTGTTTACATCTTGCAAAATGGTCTATATTGTTGTACTTATTCTTTGACTATTTTGTTTTAAGGAGGGAGGATTGTATTGGGCGGTATTGAGTGGCAATGGCAAATGGTTTACATGGCTCACGGCATCACAGATCAGGTAGAGGGCCCCTTAGCAGAATTTTGCTTAGGGCCCCAGGGGGAGGTCAGGATTGGCAAAAAAGGATTGTATTTTTTCCCGAAATCTAAGCGTTTTTTAAATTTTTTCGAGTTTTTCCTTTCAATCCAGATTATTTCTTTTCAAATAAATAAATAATAATAATTTAAAAAACAATAAACAACAATATGAGGAACTCTTTTGCTCATTTGTCTCATCTCTGACATTTTGCAATCTTTATAAATAATTATAAGACCATAAGATGAGGCATTGCGTTTGGAATTTGGAAGGGGACAAATTTAACGGAATATATTCCTTCATATAGCCCGTGAGGGGGGAGGAGGGGGGGGGTGCCCTTTTTTCAGGTCAGAGCAACTGCCCCTCAAAATTCCTGTGCACGTCCCTGCTCTTGACGGCCCAGAAAGTCAATGAAGAAAATGTTTAAATATCCCAAGTGACTACCGTGGCTCAACTATATGTTTATCAAGCGACGCGAATACTTTTTGTGCGAAAAAACAAACAAAAATAACGAGTTTATTCGACTATTTCTTTTCTTCCTTGTAGGCCAGAACGAGACTTCCTTATAGATTTCCACGACGCATGCGCGAGAATTGCGATCTGAAGTAGTGAAGCTGGTGTGAGCAGATCGCAAATCTCGCGCATGCGTCGTGGAAATCTATAAGGAAGTCTCGCCGCCGGAAAAAACAGCACTGCAAGTTTGAGAGCGGCGCCCCTGACAAATTTCGCGAGAATCACAAAATGCTTTACGGCAACGACGTCACACACATCAACGACAACATATGAAGCCACTTGCGCGCATCCAAGAAAAGTCGGTCAGACTCAGAAATGTCAAGAAAAAGGAAAAGAGAATCGGACCATGCTAGAAACCTGACAAGAGTCAACTCGGTCAGGCTTTCAGTCGTTGGCGCAAGCTTAAAAGCAGCACTGGATGCAACAACAATGCTGACCTGGCAATCTTGTTGATGGACTTGTAAGTAAATCTCTTATTTGTTAACTTGTTTGCGTTCTATTTTGTATGTTGCTGCGCTGACTTGTAGTATGTAATTTTTTACGGTGCTGTTCATTCATCCATTGTTGATAATTAGACCAGTTCAATAATTCCCACATACGTCTAGCTAGCTTTCGATTAACAGAGCTGTAAGCAGACTTCCTAACAAACAGTCGTTTCTCTTAGTTTTTTTTTTTTTTCGTTATGTTTTATTGCCTAGCTTGGCACTAGAGCTAGTTTGCCAGCTGAACTCAGGTGTTGTGATGTGTATTTATCACGTAACGTTAGTCCTGTGTCTGGTTCGGATTTCTTATAGCATGTGTACTGTGCTTATACAAACTTAAGCTGACTAACAGTGCACTTCCCTGTAAATTTACTTCAAATTGTGTTGATTATGAGTCAATTAAAGGGAGGGTTGACTGCTTTTTTTCTTTGCATAATTGTGTTTATGGAGTGCAATATAACATGTATTCGTGGTTTTTCTTTTTTAAAAAGTCTTATTTTTCATAAACTTCACCTTTATTGTCAGCCGCGCTCTCCTCTGTCCCCTGAACGAGCGGTTGACTTCCTGAGTCTATGAAACCACTCCCTCAGAAACACGCTATGGGCTCAGATTGGTTCGTTTGGGCGGGAGTGTTGTGATTGGCTAAACTGTCGCTCACGTTGTCCGGAAGGTTAACGCCCATTACCTTTACGGGCGAAACGGGCATGCCAAAGGTGGATACCATAGATAGACGGTGGATACACGTAAATAATGATGTCGAGACTGCAGTATCAGTGAGGCAGAATCAGACCGAGAAAGCCGCGATGAAGGTTCTTACTAAACGTTTCTGAATGATAATTTGCTACATTTTTTAACCATACACG